CCCTATGGAGGACAAAAGGCCAGCTTCCTTATCTCTGCGCAAGCCTTTAACCTCAGTCCTGTGTCTAACACAAAGCACAATTCAGGCTCTGTGTGTGTGTGTGTGTGTGTGTGTGCTGGGGTTTGAATTTAGGACCTCAGGCTAGGCAAGTACTCTACCACTTGAGCCATGCTCCTCTCCCTTCTTGCTTTAGTTTGATTTTCAGATAGGGTCTCATGCTTTTGCCTCACTGGCCTCTGACTGTGAGCCTACTACCTCTGCCTCCTGAGTAGCTGGGATTACAGGCACGTCCTACCACACTCAGGACTCAGGACGGTTCAGTTTTGTTATATAAAAGATAGTAGTTTGCTATGTCCTTAGATTATATCTGAAAAGAAGGAAACCTGGGGTTCTAGTTTTTAGCTTTGTCACTAACTAGAGATGAAAGCTTAAAAATTCTGGCATCCCTTGATGCCTCAACTGGTGGACTTCTAAGTACTGAGACTTTTTTTTTTTTTTTGTGAGGCTGGGGTTTGAACTCAGGGCTTTGTACTTGCAAAGCAGGTGCTCTGCTGCTTGAGCTATACCTCCAGTCCATTTTTTATTCTGGTTATTTTTGAAGGTGCGGACTTGCAAACTATTTGCCCAAGCTGGCCTTGAACCATGATCCTCTTAATCTCAGCCTTCCAAATAGCTTTATAGCTTTATAGGTATGAGCCATTGGTTCCTGGCTCATGTACTTAGACTTTTAAGAGTTTTGACATTTTCCCATCATAAGCTATAGTCAGGATGCAGTGAGACAGGAGAGAAGCTGGGGAGAAGGGTGTGTGTGCTGCTGAAGAGTCTGGACTTTACCTGGTAGCTGCAGGGCTCATTGGAGAGTTTAAAGCTGCTTATGTGGCAGCTGCGTCAAAACGGTACACTTGGGAAGTGAAGGGTCCAGGGAAGAGGTGGCTGGAGTGTCCCAATGGGAGATGGGGGTGCAGAGGAGAGAGTGCACGATCAGGGAGTGTCAGCTTGTGACTGTACTTCAAGGATGCCACTTACAGCATGGAGCTCTCTGGGTCAAGGCAGCTGGTCTTTGAAGACTTTTATGTATATACACCTTAGAATTTTTAAAAGCTGCATTTCACCTTGGTATATTTGTATATTGTCATCAAATTTTAAAAATTAGTTTAAACAGTTGCAAGGATGGGATTTCCAACACATTGTAAATATTGTCATTTTCAATTAAAGCTCCTACAGGGCTCTTTTCAACATAGCCAGTGGGACCTCAGTGCCACAGCACTTTCAACCTCATGGGTAGTCACCTGTGCGTGCACACGTGAAAAAAATATATATGAACAAACTGCCTATTATTATTATTATTTTTGGCAGTAGCTTTGAGCTTGCTAGGCAGGTGCTTCACCCCTTGAGCCACACTTCCAGCCTGAATAAACTTTTTCAATGGTCAGGGATTTTATTTCTTTCCTTTCCTTCCTCAATTTGTATTTCCTTTCCTCTTCCTCAATAGAATTTTATCTTCATGCTTTCAATGATCACCTTATTATACCTGTATAAAACTAAACTGTAAATTGAAATATATAAAAGGTTTTGAAGTTTGCTTGTACCACAAGGATCTGTTAGGAAATTTCTTCTGTATTGGGTTCTTATAATTTTAACAGTGCCCAGTGATCAAAGCAACTTAAGTATATCATGCATTTTGAAAAATCCTTATTAAATATAAAGAGCACTAATCACTGAAAATGAATCTTGCTTGCTGGCCGGGCTCCCGCCATTGGTTTCCACATCCATGAATGACTGTCACTTCTGCTGCTCTGGTCTATGCTCAGCATTGCTCTCCTCTGAGAAATCTTGTTTAATTGGTAAAGTGCTGGGGAAGGAAGGGGGTTGGTTAATTCACTGTCACTCAAATCTTTCTTCTAAGGTCCGTGACTTAAGCAAGAGATCTGACATGAAAACGCCTTTCATCATCTGTCACTTGACAATTTAATTAGGTTCTGCAGTTTTGTGACTAGCAAAGAACAGGAATCCATCTGACCTAGAGGAGGATCATTCAGTGCAGACTTTGGGGACTTTATTTTCTCAGGCCCAGCTCTAGGGTTTCAATGGGGCTTTTGTTTGTCACCCTGGAGATTGCCAGCCCTCAGGGGCAGTATGCCTTTGGAGACCTGTGGCGTTTCCTCTGTGATAGGGAGAAGGCGGTTGGTGAAGGCGCTGGGGTTGCACCTCTCTTCCCAGGCAGAGACATTTTAGCAAAAAGCATGGGTGGAAGTGGAGGGTCTTGAGGATCCACAGTCCTAGGGTGGAGACGCTCATTAGGCCCTGGCCCAGCTAACACTTTCTTTCTTTTTTTTTTTTTCTTTTATTATTCATATATGCATACAAGGCTTGGGTCATTTCTCCCCCCTGCCCCCACCCCCTCCCTTACCACCCACTCTGCCCCCTCCCTCTCCTCCCCACCCCCTCAATACCCAGCAGAAACTCTTTTGCCTTATTTCTAATTTTGTTGTGAGAGAGTATAAGCAATAATAGGAAGGAACAAGGGTTTTGCTGGTTGAGATAAGGATAGCTATACAGGGCATTGACTCACATTGATTTCCTGTGCGTGGGTGTTACCTTCTAGGTTAATTCTTTTTGATCTCACCTTTTCTCTAGTTCCTGGTCCCCTTTTCCTATTGGCCTCAGTTGCTTTTAAGGTATCTGCTTTAGTTTCTCTGCGTTAAGGGCAACAAATGCTAGCTAGTTTTTTAGTGTCTTTACCTATCCTTACCCTCCTTGTGGTGCTCTCGCTTTTATCATGTGCTCAATAGTCCAGTCCCTTGTTGTGTTTGACCTTGATCTACATGTCCACATATGTAGGAGAGAACATATGATTTTTGTCTTTTGGGCCAGGCTAACCTCACTCAGAATGATGTTCTCCCAATTCCATCCATTTACCAGCAAATGATAACATTTCGTTCTTCATGGCTGCATAAAATTCCATTGTGTATAGATACCACATTTTCTTAATCCACTCGTCAGTGGTGGGGCATCTTGGCTGTTTCCATACCCAGCTAACACGTTCTATCCGTGGCTTGGAGAAAGATAGTAAAGGCAGGCCCGTTAAATAAAGCAGGAGTAGGCTGCCAGCAGTTCTGAACAGCTTTGAGATTTATTATACATATATAAATATATGTATGTATTTCTGTGTATCTATGTATTTCCTTTCAGTACCTTAATTCAGTTAAAAGTACTTAAATTCCCTTGATTTGATTCAGAAGCTCTTCCTGGGCCTGCTGCCCCCATTGAGCCCAGTTCTGAACATAGCTTCATGAGATTTATTTACATATATTAAATATGTATGTATTTCTGGTATCTAATGTATTTCCTTTCAGTACTTAATCACGTTAAAAAAGTTACTTTTAAGATTCGCATTGATTTGATCAGAAGCTGCGTTGCCTGGGGCTGCGCCGCCACTTGGCCCTCTGTCCTTGCGCCTGGCTTGGGAAGGGTTGTACCTGCTGCTCCTCCCTTCCATTCAGTCTCTCGCCTTCTCTTCTAAGAATTGGCTCCAAGTCTTCTTTGCTGGAACAACTTTCTTTAGTATTTTATTATTGCAATTTTTTCTAGATTGTTTTACACAGAACATTTTCATTCATTTTTCCTTTTCTGTGTTTTGAGCCATGCTTAGAACATTTTTTGTCAGTATACTCCTTTGTCCTCTTGTAGAAATAGTATCTATCTTTAAAAAGAAAAAAAAAAACGGCAAATCCATGGAAAGCAACTCTTCTTTCCAATGTTTAATCATTTTCAGAACAGTCTTCTGGCACAACAGCCACTCTTTCCCTGGTGAATGAGGCCCAGTATCTGCTGATAAACACACCGAGTCTTCTGAAACTTCAGCAGCAATTAAATGGCAGGTAAGTTCCTTTCCCTGGGACTAGAAGACAAGTCTAACCATTTGCCCCTGAAAGCAGGCCTGATACCTACTTGGGAAGGAAAGAATCTAGAGTCAGCAAGTCCAGGCTGTCAGTAACAGATGAGAAACTGAGGCCCGGAGAAGTCAGCAGTCCCTTTTGACCAGTTCCCATTAGTGTTTCTGAGGGTCCTCTTTTATTATGTGTATTAGTATATTAGTTACTTTTGTGTCATTGTGACCAAATACTCACAAAAACAACTTAAACAGAGGAGTTAGCTGTAGTTTCAGAGGGGTCAGTCCTTCATGGTGTGGAAGGTGTGATGAGCAGAACAGCTCACATCATGGCAGCCAGGAAGCAGAGAGAGGCAGGAAGGGGCCAGGGCAAGATACCCCCCAGGACCTGCTGTTACTGGAAAAAAGGCATTGATAATTACCTAGGTTCTTGCATCAGGCAGAAGAAAAATTCAAGCAAGACACAAAGATTTAGTAAAAATAACAGTAAAGTTCTTAATACTAGGAGAAGGGCAATACAACTTAAAACATACTGACCAAGTGGGTGTTCTACACGTTGAGCATAACGGTCAGGTTTCTTTTAAACTGTTGGAAGCTTACTTGATTGAGAACTCTTAAGCCTTTGGGTTCATTTTGCGCCCCCTGGTGGTTGATTTCCTGGGTTCTGGGAAAGGAATACACTTAAAACATACTGAAAGTGGGTTGTCTCTACAGTGAGAATAACAGGGTCAGGTTTTAAGGTTGGAATACTTATTGAGAAACTCTTAGCTTTGGGTCATTTTGGCCCCTGGGGTGATTTCCTGGGTTTGGGTCATTATCTTCTTAAGAGAGACATTGAGTAATCTACTAGTTCCTGCTCTAAATGATAGAGAATTTCTGTTTGAAATTCCCAACTTTTGCTGTATCTAGCTCTTTCATTTGGGTTTTTGTTTTGTTAAATTTACTAGTGAAAACCTCCCTGCTCCATGCATAGTTGATGTTTAGGATGTCGATTACTTTTGGGTATAGAAAATTTAAGCTTTAGGGTAGTGGCTAACTTCAAAGCAACCTGTGATAGCCCCTGGGCTCTGGCTACCTGATCCTAAATAGAGATTAGTGCAGTTGGGAAGCTGAATTAAAATGATTTCTTCCTGTCTTCCTCTTGTGGCCACCACTTCTGTCCAACTGCTACCTATCACAGTGACCTACTTCTTCCAGCTAAGTCTCACCTCCTAAAATTTCCAGAAGCTTCCAAAGTAGCACCTCTAGCTGGGGTCAAAGAGTCCTTGTGGGGGACATTTTATATTCAAGCCATAACAGTTTCCCATTACTATAACAAATACCTGAGATAACAGCTTACAAAGAGAAAAGGTTTATTTTGACTCATAGTTTTAGAGGTTTGAGTCTGTGGTTAGTTAACCTGTTACTTTGGGCTTGTCATGGTGTTGGAATTAAAGACCCTGTGGTGCTGAAAACAGACACACAAGAGACAGAAAATCTTGACAAGGCAATTTCTCTTGATCGAGAAGGGTGCAAGAATGTGCTCACTCCAGCTAAGCAACACGCAAGCACAAAATGGCTGACAGTGGCTCCTCCTTCATCCCTGACACAGTTGTACCTGCCCCTCACCTGGGATTTGTCCAGGTCAAAGGTTCACAGTCTTTCCCCATTGGCTGAAAGGCTTGGGGGTGGGGGGAGTTAGGGCATGAAGTTTGGTGGGCAATGGAGTTGTACACAAATCTGGAAGAAGAAGCAAGGACCCTTTAAACATGCAAGTCACCTAAGATGGAGACCTGAGGAATTTTTAATCTAAGAGGGTAACAGATACTTTGATAGAAAAGATCATTTTTCTTACAATTGTGTATCATGGCAGGAGTTTGTGGTGGAGCAGAGCTCTCACCTTATGGCAGGGAACAAAAAAAAAAAGAGGAAGAATGGGATCCTATGATCTCCTTCAAGGACAAGTCCCCCAGTGATGAAAAACTTCCCACTAGGCCTCACCTCCCAATGGTACCATGCTAGGGACCAAGCCTTTACCACATGGACCTTTGAGGACACCTAAATCCAAACCATCAATAGCATCTTCCACTGATCCTTCTTACCACTGTCAGGATTCTTAATGGAGAATGCTTCACTTGCATTTTTTAATCATTCTGTTTCTTAATTTTGTTTTGATTAAATTGCCACCAGCTTGACTCAATTTCATTGCCCACCCTCCCATGGTCCCCTGTCCCCTAGGAGCCCTGCCCTTCTTCACACATTCATTTTGAAGGCTGAAAAAGGAGTCTTGAGAGCATTTCAAGTGCAATTGCAGGTGTGTTTTATTTGTAAGCTGCACCACTGGGTGGAGCTAATACCTGTCTGCTCACTGCCACCCCCCCCCCCCCACTCCTTACCCCAGTGCTCTCTCAAGGGCCTGATAATGTTAGGAAGTCGTTTTGGCTCTCAAAGGGATCTGATTGGGCCAACCTCTCATTGCCCTTTAGAACAAACTGAAGTTCCAAGTTATCTGGGTGATGAGAGAAATTCTCCCAGAGCCATGTGGGCACAGGCTTCTCATTCCTAGTCCACAGGCCAGGGAAGTGGGTGCACAGCACTAGGAACCTGGTGTGCTGGGACTCTCACATTTCACATGCGTGTGTGTGCATGCCTGAAAACATGTAAAAATAGTGCTTTGTAAAAGTGGCCAAGAGGCTCTCCTCAATCACTACAAAGGTGGGCTGTTTGTAGTAAACCTGGTTTATAATCTTTGGTAAATAATATAATGTGTTCCCTGGCCTTAAACCAGTTCGTCCTTTTTGGAAGCAGAATTGTGATGCAGTTGCCAGATCTCTGGTGTTGACTGAGTTTTCCTGGCACTAAGGGGCCCTCCTTCTCGTACTCACCAGACCAGGAGAATGTGGGTCTGTGGTTTTCTGGAGTTCTTGGTATAGATAGGTAGTAGGGACAGGCTTGCTGCAAACCTGGTTCCCACCAGGAGTGGGTGACATTTCCCACCAGCTGTTTCAATCAAGGCTGCTGGGTAGGGCAGGTGGTCAAAGGTAAGAGGAACAGAGCCCAAGACCAGTACCCCTTGAGGAGTCCCTGGGTGCACCTGCTTGGTATTTTTCTGTGCTCTATTTGAAAATTCAATGGACTTTCTCATTTACTTTCTAACCCACATAGCTTTCAGACACCAAACTTCCCCTTTTACTAAACACAAGGAAGTGTGTGTAACCAGAGAGTGAATCTAGAATCAAAGGATTTGAGGACTGGAAAGTGCTAATGTTCTCACTTTAGGTGAGGAAGCTGCAGTCCTCACGGGTTGTGGTAGCTGGCACTTAGTTCATGACACAGATGTACTTGGTTATCCTGGCCTCTGTAATAGAGTTCTAAAGTTCTGTCTGTGCTTCTAGAGTGCATTACAGCACTCTAGAAGCACAGGCAGAAGGATAAAGAGTTAGAGGCCAGCCTGAGCTACATAGGAAGATCCCATATCAAAGTTAAAAAAAAAAAAAAGAATCTATTGAAGCCAGGTGATGGTGGCTCATGCCTGTAATTCTAGCTATTTGAGAAGCAGAGATCAGGAGGATTGTGGTTCAAGGTCAAGCCTGGGCAAATAGTTCACAAGACCCTATCTTGAAAACGTCCAACACAAAAAGGGGTGGTGGAGTGGATCAAGAGGTAGGGTGCCTGCCCAGCAAGCATGAGGGCCCACGTTCAAGCCCTAGTACTGTCAAAAAAAAAAATACTATTGAGGTACCCAAAGTACAAAACTCAATGATTTTTTGTAGATGTATGCACTCATGAAACAATACCCAGGTCAAGTGAGAATATACCCCACCTTTCCCTTTTACCCTTTCTTAGTGAACCCTAGTGAAAGTCATCTGTATTCTGACTTCTTTCACTGTAGATAGTTTCACTGTTCTTGGACTTAACGTCACATAAAATTTGTTGCAGGAGTTGGAAGGCCTGTTTTCAAAGCAGTCTTTTGCGTAGGGTCGGGGATACATGGAGGTGTAGAGGACCATTTTGTGGAAGCTTAGGCAATAAACACGAATGATAAAAACATGAAATGCTGGTTAAAATTGCAAACAGGTGGAAGTTAAGACTATTATCCTCTCTTTTTCTTTATGATGTTTCAATATCCAAAAAAGTATTGGTTTGGGTGCTTTGTAGGTCCTTGGTAATTCAGACTGTGGTAGCTCTTTAAATACCTTTTCCAGTCCAACTTTATAGAACTGAGCTTTTCTCAGAGGTTCATTCACTTGGTCTCTGTTCATCTGGTTTCCAAGGTCTTTCCTGTCTTAAGATCTGTTTACCCTTTGCCTACATCACCTATGGGCTTTTCCCCAGAGACAGGCTGTTGATGTGCCTTTAGCAGATGGGTGTCTCTCAGCCTTATACTCCTGGTATAAGTTTTTTCTGACCATCCAGACCTCAGGTCAGAGTAGAGTTGATAAAGTCAGTCATCACATGGCAGGCTTGGTGAATTATAATAGTGCAGTTATCTGCCCCCACTCACTCTTCTTGGTATGTCTAAAACAGTGATGAGAATGGAAAGAAGGAATTATTCACAATGAAAGATCTCATCTCACGTTTCCGTGCTAATATTATTACCAATGGAACAAGGGCTTTTGAAGAAGAGAAATGGGATGAGATTTCAATTGGTTCCTTGCGTTTCCAGGTAAGTTCCAGAAGTTCTATTACCCTTCCTCAAGGGTTGCAGCAATGATTGAACTCAACCCCAGACCTGGATGGTGGCAGGTGGGAAACCTCCCCCCTTATCCTTACCTCTTACCCAAAAATCTTAGCAGGAAGGCATGTGACATCAGCATTCTCGTAAGCTGTTGGATTCAGCCATCTCTTACATCCCAGAAGGTGACAGTGGTCAGTTTCATGTAAGGAAAGAGAATGTGCCCCATGCAGACCATCTGAGGGTTCAGTGCACTCTTACTCATCCTCACATCAAGGCTTAAGTCTGTTTTCTTGGAACACTTGTGTCTATGAGAACTCATCTTCCCAAAACTTGCGGGACTTTGTGGCAGTGTGGAGCGTGTGGAACTTGTGGAGAGAGACCCAGAAGCCTTGGTGCTTATGGCTGCCCTACGTCATCCACCTCCTCCTCATGCTGTGACTTCTGCTTTTGATGGCAGCTGGGAGGAGATTGTCAGAGGCAAGGTCACCGATTTCATTTGTCTTCAGGACTTGGGTTCCCCAAACCTTTTCTGTGGGTTTCAACAGTGTGAGAAAAGAAGAAAAGTCTTAGGCAGGTCTGTACTCCTCACATAGCTGACAAAGCCCCACGGTGTCTGACTCTGCCCATCTCTCTGAGCTCATCACCCTTTGTGCTCTCTACCTTTGACACTGACCTTCTCTTCATCCCCTCACAAGCCCACCTTCTTGCCTTAGCACCCTTTTCCTCGCTGTCCCTTCTGCTTGGCATGTTGCTCCAGGGTCTTAGCTCAGAGGTCACCTCCTCAGAAAATAACCTGCCACATGATCATATTCGGCACAGTTCCTGCTTATCCCTCCAGAGCATACAAGAGTGAGAACCAAGTCTGTTTTGCTCTCTGCTATTCCTCTAGGGCTTAGAACAGCCTGGTTGAGTCATATCCTATAAGTAATTGTTAAAGGAATGAGTGGACAGGAAAGATAAGGAATAGCTGGGACAGAGGATGGCTTATTTGTAGAGAATGTGCTCAACTCTTCAGAGGGAATGAAATTACTTTAATGTTACTTGAAGGAACATTGCTCTAACATTCAGAAAAACAATAAATAATCATTCAAAACTGTATTAAGTGCTCTAATATTAAGAAAAGCAGTAAACAACAATCCAAAACTTTATCAAGTGATTTTGGATTGAGGGGCGATAAATTGTATGGCACAACAAAATGTCCCACTGATTTTTCCTGTCCATGTAACTCCCCAAACTTCTTGCCTCGGCATCTGCTCTGCCTTGAAAGACAATCTCTCTTCTCTCTCGGATTCTGTCCTATAAATATGTCTTTGGTCCTGGCTTTCCTGCCATTTACCCACATCCCTCCCTCCCAACTTTCTCATCCATATTCCCCATCTTTGTGTCTCTGTTGCTTCAAAAATGCCTGTTCTTGCATGTCGTGCCTGATACAAAGGTAGATACCAACTATACTTTGTTAGATGCATGAAGACAGGGAGGGAGGACAAAAAGAAGAAAGCAAAGAGAGAGGAGGGAGAACTAAACTAGACTGGAATTGCTCTCAGAAACTTACCTGGCAATAACAGGTGATGATGTCTTAGCAAGCTTTGCTTTCCCTGAGTCCCTATTCTTAGTATACAGCAAGATACTGTATATATTAAAATTAAGATACTGTGTATATTAAAATTTATATGTCCTTTGGCCCAATAATTTCACTTATAGAAATATATCCCATAGAAATACTGTATTACCTAATTATGAAAAACTAGGGAACATTTTAAATATACATAATAGGGAGTTGATTAAATAAATTATGCTACATCCATATAGTGTAGCCCTGGGCAGGCATTAAATCATAAAAAATATAGTTAATACTGTGCCTGTCAAAAAATAAACACCTAAAAGATGCATTGAGAGTGCAGCAGTCATAACAAGACTGGCACATCTCTTTTGGAAAGCAATTTTTACTGCATAATATCAAGTCATAAATACTTTTATGTTTGTTGGTATAATCTCATTTGAGGGGACTGATCCTTAAAAAAATTCCAAATAGGAAAGAGAATGAATTAAAACTTTCACTGCAAAATTCTTGACAATCGCAAAGCATGAGCAATGATTTACTTGGCTTCAAAGGAGAGGAGTTAAGTACATCCGCTCGTGGAATGCCGGGTCATCCACGGTGAAAATCGCAGAATGGGAGGATGAGACGGCTGTCCATGCACTGATGTGGAAGGATGTGTTATGTGTTGTATTTTGATGGAAGAGACCCAAGTGGCCTCTCGGATGTCAGTGTGCATCCACACAGGTGCAGATGTATGGCTGTGTGCATATCCACAGCCCTTTAGCAGTACTTGTTTGTGAGGATGGGGAGGAAAGACCACTGCTTAGTGTTTTCTCGTTTAATTCTTCATGCTTCTGTATTGTTCCACTTCTTTTTCTTTGTTTCTAGTATAGATTTTCTTTTTTTTTAATTATCAGGTTATTATTGTACTAGGGATACATTGTGACATTTACCAAAGTGATTGCAATGTATCTTAGTTGAATTCACCCCTCCATCATTCTCCTTTATCTCCCCCTTCCCCATTCTTAGAATATTTTCAGTATGTCTCATTTTCCCATCCACTTGTTTTTTAATGAGCATATATGCTAGTAAACAAGCTTTTAGGATACCAGTTAGGAGGAGTACCTGAAAAAGCTTAAAAAGGACAATGTTTTTTGAAAAATTGTTTTCTTAGTACTGGTGTTTTAAAAGAATATCTAGAAAGTTCCTCTCCTCCTGCCATTTGGAGAATCTGTTTTAAGAGTGCCTTTCCAACAAAGTGACAGGAGTTTTACCTAAGGTATTGTCTAATGGCTGGCGGCTATGAACCTGAGCCGGGGGCTGGTGGGTGCTGCTGGGCCCTGGTATCCCTTCTGCAGGTGCGGGGTCCAAGGAGTTTGCCATTTTCTGACCAGAGAAGCTAAGAAGGTTCTGGACACCAAATGCTGCACTGGCTCCCATACCATGTCACGGATTGTCCTGTAGAATAGTGATGGTTTCCACTTTGGAGCACAATGGAATGCTAGACTTGCCTGGGCTTGGCATCTCAGAAATAGTGTCTGGGATCCTCATCAAAGCCAGCTAAGCTGCTAGATGAGGAAATGAGGCCTGGAGAAATCATGGGTCTGTTAACCATCACGGGAGTTTGCTGGACAGAGTTCCGTGATGGCATACCCACTGTTTACATGGCCTGGGAGTCTTAACTTTTGTGTCATAGAGAGGTTGTTGGTTGAATGCCTACCAACCAGAATGTGAGTGATAGGAACAGGCCACCATACATCCAGATTAGGTAAGTGTTTCTAATTTCAGTGCACAATTTGTATCCACCTATGTGTGAGCAGAGAAGAAAATGGTTATAAGAAAATCAAGTAGCTGGGTATGGTGGTACATACCTGTAGTTCCAGCTGAGGAGGAGGCTGAGGCAGAAGGGTTGTTTGAGCCCAGAAGTTCTGGGCTAGCCTGGGCAACATAGCAATATCCTTCTCAAAACACAACAAAACGTGTTGGGTACTGGTGGCTCATGCCCATCATCCCAACTACATGGGAGGCTGAGATTGAGAGGACTGAGGTTCTGGGCCAGCCCAAGCAAAAAGGTGGTGAGATCCCGTCTCAACAGGAAAACCTGGGCATGGTGCCTGTGCCTGTCATCATAGCTGCTTCTGGAAGGATAAATAGGAGGATCACAGTCTAGGATGGCTTGGGCAAAAATCAAGACCCTCTCTCAAAAATAGCAGAGCAAAAGAACTGGAGGTGTGGCTCAAGTGGTAGAGCATCTGCCTAGCAAGTGTGAGGCCCTGAGTTCAAACCCCAATACTGCCAAATTCAACAACAAAACCATTAAGTACTTTTGCATCTTTTATGAATGAATTAAAATTTTTTCTCATTACTGCTGAGCTGTAATTTTCTATGTTAACATTTGTGAGGGACGTTATTCCTATAAAAGCAATGAAAGTTCATGGTAGACCATGGAGTATAGAAATTCTTCCATACTATATGACCTGTGTCAAGCAGCTGCATATGGTGTTTTATGTATTGTGTATATTTGGTATGCAAATGTGTGTATGTATACATATATATGTGTATGTGTGTATACATAGAATCCACATATGATTTTGTCTCCTGCTTTCTTAGATTATAAAAATAAATATTTTACCATTTTATTTAAAGGCCTTTATAGGTTAATTTTAATACCTGCATGAAATATATCATATAGTTATAGCATGGTTTGCTTAGCCATTCCTCTTTATGATGTCTAGGGTGCTAACAAGTTTTCTCTGCCATTAATAATGTGAGACAGAGCCTTGCACCTGACTCTATTTCTGGTTCCTTTTTTAGGTTAAATTCGTACAGGTGAAGTTGCTGGTCAGTGGACATGGCACCTGAAGGATCTTTCTGATGGTTCAGTGCTGGCTCTCTGGCGGTTTCTCTTCTTCCAATTTTTCCTCCCAGTCTCTTCCTTCCTCAGATTCCCTTGCATTCCCTGAGAACTGTCAAGATTATCATCCACTCTTTCTCTACACACCCCAAAGTGCTAATCTTTCAGTTGACAAACATACACAGATGATTCCCAGCAGGCACTGGGAGAGGGACCACTCTCTGAGTTAGGCAATTGGACATACCTGTGTGGCTCCTCCATGACACGTGTAAGTGTCTGGTCAGTTTTGTCCCTTCTCATCTTCCAGGTTCTTGGGCCTTGTCACAGATGCCAAATGATTTGTATTGACCAGAAAACTGGGCAACGAAACCAAGACATTTTCCAAAAACTTTCTGAGAGTCGTGAGAGAAAGGTAAGCATGATTGCAAATTATGACACTCTATTTTAAGGTCTTAGGGTGTTATTGATACCAGAACTGGATTTGCAGTAGTGCTGAGTAATTTTTAGCAGTGGGAAGTTTGTTGTATGTTTCAAAGTTGATATGGTACTTGAAGATGTAAGAATTATAAAGAACAAATAAGTAATTCTATAATCTTGATCATCCTTTACCACAGAGAGCCCATGAAGAGTAAAATGGCTTAGTGTGAATTCAGTAGCTGTGTATTACACTAAGCTCGTCAGTTTATCTTCTTGAGGGTTAAAATCACCAACTTGCTTGTGTGGATTCCAGATTATAAAAGCTGAACTTCTAACAGGTTGATTCTTTAGAAACATTTATTTTTAGGTTCACGTTTTCTGCTAGAACTTTTTGTTTGGGAAGAATTCCAGGAAGCCAAGTAAGCAGTGAGGCTGCATTAAAAAAATTCTTAAAAATTGACAGATATAATGCAAACATCTAATCTATTGCCAACAAGAAATTGGCAGGTTAATTCATGGTAAAATGTTCTGCACTGTTTCCTGAGTTTCTTCAAAAGCAGTGTTTTAGGCTGGGGATGCAACTTAGAGGCAGAGTTCTTGCCTAGAATGTATGAGTTTCCAGATTCAATCCCTAGCTCTGCCAAATGGGGTGGGAGTGGGGGAAGAAAAGCAGGGCTTTGTTTTGAACTATTTTGTTTACTCTCAGATATAAAAAGGGTAGGGTCTGTAGAGGTGTTGAATTTGCATACTAAACCAACATGTCTGCCCAGTCAGTGGAGGCCACAGTAACAGGGAGGTGGGGACCTGGAGAGGGGATGAGTAGATGCAAGTACTGTTTCTCAGCAGATGTTACCACAGGAACACTTCATGTCCTCCCAATGGTTCTTTTTTTTTGGGGGGGGGTAAGGGGAGGTTATAGTAAACTTTTATTGGATTGTTCATGGATGCTGAGATTTGAATTTCTTATAATTTTCACAACTTGAAATATCATTCATCTTTTGATTTTTTCCAACTATTTAAAAATGTAGAGACAATCTTCATGGGTAATCCAAAAGTAGGTGGTGGGCCTGGATTTGATATTCAGGTGATAGTTTGCTGACCCTTGATCTAATTTTTAAAGGGGATGCTGGTACCCTAGGTTGGGAGTGGCAACAGAGAATCAGCAGAGCAGCGTTCACAGGGCTGGAGCAGGAGGGAGGCTGAAGCTAGTAGAGAGCAGGTTCTGCCTAGCCTTGGTGTGGGCAGAGAGGGGGTAGAGGGTAGGGGAGACAGAGAGAGACAAAGAGGGAGGGGGGGTGGAGAGAGAAAGAGAGAGAGAGAGAGAGAGAGAGAGAGAGAGAGAGAGAGAGAGATTGGGATTGATTGGAAAGTGATAGAGATAGATTGTGGAATGAGAGATTAGTAGGGTAACCCCATTGTCAGGTGTTTTCTCCCCAGTCATCCTTCCTGTTGCATGATATTTTTTTAGTATTTTCCTACTTAATTTTTTTTATTGTTGTACTGAGGCTATTGATGATTAAAATATAATTGGTTGACCAGGACTCTCATTGCATGTGGTGGAAACCCTAATATCCATCTTCAAATCCCCAGGAATTCCTGAAGGGATTCTGTGTCTCCTAATTTTTTTTTTGACAGTACTGGGGTTTGAACTCAGAGCCTCGTGCTTGCTAGGCAAATGTGCCACCATTTGAGCCACTTTTTGCTTTAGTTTTCTTTTTAATAGGGTTTTGTGTTTTTGCCTGGTCGGGTCTGGAAAGTGACCCTCCTACCTATGGCTTCCACATAGCTGGGATGACATGCACACACCACCATACCTGCCTTTATTAGGTGAGATGGTATCCCACTAACTTTTTTTCTTTTTACCTTGGCCTGCCTCAAACTGATTCTCCTGATCTCTGCCTCCCAAATAGCTGGGATTGCAGATATGAGCCACTGCACCTGGCCTCCTAATTGGTTTTTCTACTTTCTGCTTGAGTCTCTTACTTACTCTCTTCTGACCCACATCAGTTTCCAATTGGATTCCAGCTTCTGTTCCCACATTTATCCAGTATGTTGTTTATCAGAAACATTTTGATGTGGTGGATATGCTGAAATTGGCTTTAGAAATCTTTTGGCTGTCCTCAAAGTCAGGATTTTCTCCTGATTATCATCCTTCCTCACCCAAATCTCTCTTCCTGAAACCATGATGTTCTCCAGGGTAAAAGATAGGGACACAGCACCTATAATAAAATGTCAGCTTACAAAAAAATAGTAAATTTTTCTATACACCAGTAAAGAACTCACTGAAAAAGTCAAGAGAGCAATACCATTCACAAGAGTCTAGAAAAAAACAAACCTGGTATAAACTCAACCATTATATTAAAGATCTCTACAATGAAAGCTATAAAGCACCAAAGAAAGAAATTTCTTCATTCTTCTAGAAGATGGAAGGACCTCCCATGTTCATGAATCAGAAGAATAAATATTGTTAAATAACCATACTACCAAAAGTGATACACAAATTCAATGTAACCCCCATCAAATTCCAATGACATTCTATAGAAAAATATAAGAAATAATCCTAAAATTCACACAGACACACAAAAGATCTCAAATAGCACAACTTGAGCAAAAAGAGCAATGCTGGAGGCATTGTAGTACCTGAATTCAAACTGTACTACTGAACCAAAAACAGCATGGTACTCATACAAAAACAGACACATAGACCAGTGGAATAGAACAGAAGACTGATATTTGACAAAGACTGAAAATATCCATTGTTAAAAAAAAAAAAAGACAGCTTGTTTTAACAAGTGGCACTGAGAAAACTGGCTATCTACATGCAGAAGACTGAAACTAGATTCCTATCTCTTATCCTGTACAAAAATCAACTCTAAATGGATCAAATACCTTAAGGTAAGACCTAAAACTTTGAAATTACTAGAGGAAAGCATAGAGGAAATACTTTAAGATATAGACATAGGTAAAGACTTTCTGAATCGGACTCCGTATCTCAGGATATAAGAGCAAGAATTGGCAAGTGGGATTGTGTCAAATTAAAAAGCTTCTGCACAGAAGAAGAATCAGTTAACAGAGTGAAGAGATATCCTTCAGGATGGGAGGAAATCTTTCCCAGATATCCGTCTGCCTGGAGATTAATATCCAGAATATATAAAGAACTAACAACCTTAAACACCAATATAACAACTAACCCTGTCAGTAATTGTGCAGACGAACTAAACATGTTCAAATGAAGAGGTACAAATGGCCAATAAATACAAGGGAAAATGTTCAACATCCTTAGCTGTTAGGGAAATGCAAATCAAAACGACATTAATATTCCACCTCACCCCAATCAGAATGGCTATCAAGAAAAAAAATAACAAATACTGAGGAGGATGGGAGGAGTTCTTATTCATTGCTGATGGGAATGTAAACTAGTGCTAGTACAGCCTCTATGGAAGTTAGGGTTGAGGTTCCTCAAAAGCTAAAATTAGAACTCCCATATGATCCAGCCATACTACTCTGGGTACAGACCCAAAAAAATCAAAGTCCACTTACTATAGAGATACCTGCATACCCATGTTTATGGTGGCACTATTCATAATAGCCAAGTTATGGAATCAGTCTGCAATCGATGAATGGATAAAGAAAATGTGATATATATATGCAGTGGAGTTTTACTCAATCATTAAGTAGAAGGAAATTATGTCATTTTCTGGAAAATGAATGGAACTGGAGATCATCATGTTAAATGAAGTCAGTCAGTTCCATAAAGACAAGTATTTCATGTTTTCTTTCATATGTGGAAGCTAGGTTGAAACAAAATCAATCAAAACAAAAAAACCAGGGCCATAGCAGTGAAAAGTGGGCTGCTAGGGAGGTGGAAAGAGAAGGAAGAAGGGTCAGGGAGTGGTAAGAAAGAATAATGGGGATGAATATGATCAAAGTACATGCATGCATGGATGAAACGCCTTACTATGTACAATTTAGTATATGGCAAAAACATGTATCCGAGTGAGTACTTTGTGAGGGCAGAGCCAACTGCAGAGGGGGCCCACAGAAGAGAATTATTTCCCCCAGATGTAGGAGGGGTTGGGAAGGCTTCCCAGAGGAGGACAAGGGAGAGGGCTGTTGACACGTGAGCAGAGATTTTTAGTGGAGAAGGAAGAGGCATAGCTTCCCAGGGTTCCTACTGGCTCTCTTGCATTGTTGGCAGACCTTGAACAGACTTAAGGATTGTTCCATCTTTGTTCTGGAGAATTTTGAGAACTTCACTTGTTCCCAAGGAAAGTGCAGAATTTTGTCATTTTCATCACCAAATAATTTTTACATCCAGAAAAAGAGCAGAAATCAGCCAGGCAAAAGTCAGAGGGTGAGAGCAGGAAGAAGGTCTTCCTGTTGGAAGCTCAGGGCATATGAGAAAAAGGTTAAAAGAACATGCCCAGCAATGAGGTGTGGGGTGACCATAGGGAAAGGGCACCTTTGAGGGAGAGTCTTCAGGGTCTGAAATTAGGATTCTCCTTATGTCTACTGCATTCTACTACATAATAGAAAGGACCTTCCAAGTAACTTATACCCCAGTGACTTTCATGTCTCAGTGTTAGAGATCTGACTTGATTTTAGATGAACATCATTTACAAAATTATTTAACTGCAAAAATAATCTAGCTTTTTTGCTGTCACTGTTGTTTGTTCACAGGTGAACTTTGGCGTGTACCTGATGCATACGTCTTTGGATTTATCTTCTCCAACTTTCCTGTCTGTAGGAACTCGGGTGCTCCCTGTGTTAAAAGAGACCATGGAGCGTTATGATTCCCCTGATTCCCAGAAACCCCAGGATGTTATCTCCTAAAATTTTTGCTAGCATGCACCAAAGTTTCTCTTTTACAATGATCTGTGCTAGATCTGCATCTGGATCGGTCTTTGAGTAAGGATAATTCTTTTTTACTTTAAGTTTTTATTTTTTGGAGATGGAGCAAGCTCTTGCCAGCTTCCTCTGACTTCTCATTCTGCACCGTTGCACCAGCAGTGCTCAGAAGGGCAGGTCTGAGGCCTGGGGACAGAGAATACTGTGCCCACACCCGGTGAGGGTCTCATGTTCATTTGCATTTGAATTATGATCAGTTATAGTCGGAATAACTTTTTAATAGAGCTGGGGATTATTCAACCTACTCTAGGTCCCTAATTTGATGTTTTCTTGGAGTCTTGAGGCTGTCTCCCACCCGTGGTGCTGAGGAAAGGAGTCTGTGCCCATTGAGCTTGATGTTTGAGAAAGCAGCCCTCTTCTCCTGTGCACATGGTGGGTGGGTTTGCACTGAAAGGCCCGGAGGGAGACTTGTGACCACACTCCTCAAGGGCAGTTTTGATCGGGTTAGTTATGCTCTGAGTAAAGGCACAAGACAGCAATCCCATCTTTGGCCACCAAACTTGTTGACTTGTGCGTTGACACGTGAGGGTTACTCATGAACCAAAATCACACTCAGCACCAGCTGAGTGTCCTTCCCTGCTCGGGTCCACCGGACTTTGAGCCTCCAAATCCTCCTCCAGAGAGAAGTCTGGAGTTCAGGGGTCCCATCTGCACTACCTCTGTCCAGTGGTCCTGCAGCCGGTGTTTTAATATGTCTAGTGCCAAAAAGCTCACTCTCTAGAAACTCCATTGAGTTTCTAGAACACTCCTCCCTCTGCTTAGCTTGTATTTGCTTCCCTGTGACTTCCAACCCTGTCATTGGAGCAATGTACAGGAAGCATGTCCCTTCTGCATCCACTCTGCTGGTGGCCTTCTGAAGCTTCTTGTCTCTGTGTGAACACCATGTGTGAACCCTGGCATCTTCTCTCTGGATTTTTCATTTGTCCATTCACTTCTCTTCCCCAAGTCCCTGCCACCTCTTTTCCTAAGGCATGTCACTGCTGCTCAGCTGCTTAATTGTTTAGTGTACCAGGCTCAGGCATATCCCTGCCTCATCTATTCAGAGCCCACAGGATTCACAGTGTGTTTCATTGTCTCATTTTAGGACTTTGTATTGCTCCCAGAAGTGTGTGGGATTTGAACAATGAGCTATGCTTTGCTCTCCAGGGTTGTTGAGATGGAGCCTTATGCTTATGTTCTCATATGGTGTGTAGAATTAATGAAATTAATTAATTTCTCTAATGAAAGGTGATGTATGAAGTTAGGAAGGGGTTTTATGACTTTGAATTTTTTGTTAAAAATCCGACCTTGAGGGTCAGGCACAGTGGCTCATGCCTGTAATCCCAGCTACTTGGGAGGCAGAAATAGGAGGATTGTGGTTTAAGGCCGTTCCAGGCAAAACATTAATGAGACCCTATCACAAAGAACAAAGTTGGACATGATGGCACACATCTGTAATTCTAGCTAAGTGGGAGGTAGGAGGATTGTGGTCCAAGATTGGTCCTGGGGGCAAAAGTATGAGATCCTATCTGAAAAACAGAGCAAAAAGAGATTGGGGGCATGGTACAAGTGGTAGGGTGCTTGTCTAACAAGTGCAAGACCCCGATTTCAAACCCTAGTACCACCAAAAACAAAACAAAACAAAACAAAAAACTCAGCCTCTTCCAAGACCCATGTGCCTGTTCTCCTCAGCGACTGGGGGTGGAATGGTACCTGAGGTTCTGGCTTTACTGAGTTGCTCAGACCTGCTTCTCACAGGAGGAAACTCTTCTTAAGTGGCATGCTGCAACATTGCCAAGATCTAATGTTAACAATGCAGCCCATGAAATGCAATGGAAGCCAAGTCAGAAAATCCATCTACCCAACATCGTTGATGATCCAAAAGGCAAGAACATTTCGTTCAGCAACACAACCTCATCGTGTTCTTCAGTAGATACTTTTGTGACAGATTTCAGACACTTAAATGTAAACTCTGCTTTGCAGCATAATTATTTAATTATCTACTTATAATTATTAATTTAACATTGATTTGTCTCCACTAGACTGTAAGCTCCATGAGGTCAGGACACCCCCCCCCTCCCCAGTTTGGATCAGCAGTGGACCTCAGTGTTGTCAGTTAATAAGGGTTCAATAAAATTTGCCTGGTTATTTAAAGCTGGCACTGTTGTTAAAATTGATTGATCCATGAACTGATTGAATTTATTAATTAAATTTGTTATCAATTTAAAATTAGACTGCTATGTTTTGCATCTTGAATGTCTCTCAAAGGCTCATGTGTTCTAGAGTTTGTCCTTAGCATGGTACTGTTGAGAAGTGGTGGAAACTTTAAGAGGTGGGGTCTGATGGGAGGTCTTTAGTTTATTGGTGGTGTGTCCTTGAAAGAGATTGGGGGCATGGTACAAGTGGTAGGGTGCTTGTCTAACAAGCACTTTTTTGCTTTCTCACTTTTTGCTCCCCACACAAAAGGTGAGCAGCTTTGCTCTGAAATGTACTTCTGCTGTGACATGTTGCCTCATTGCAGGTCCCAAGTAACAGGGAACTGATGATGGATTGAAATCTCCAAAACTCTGAGCCCTTTCTCTTTATAAGTTGACTACCTCAAGTATTTGTTACAGTAACAGAGTTGACTAATGCACAGGCCCACAGGGAAAATTTCTGAAAGGAGGTGCTGGATTGGGGAGGGGCAGGAGAAAGTCATTACAGAGGAGGTAGCAAGTACAAGCACATGAGGTAAAGGCATGAGAGAAGTGAGGATTGTACAGACTAACATAAAATGGGACTGTCATGTGCTGAGAAGGGCTGATGGAAACCCATTGCTAAGAGTTAAAGATTATTGGGGTAAATTATTCACGAACTAGTGAAATGAAACCAAAAGGAATCAAGAGCCAGAAATCAATAGAACAAGAATGAGATGGATCACATAAGATGTCAATGCAGGAGACAAAGGCACCAGATCAGGGACGTCCACAGGAAGAGGAGAGTGGTGGGGATTTAACAGCAACGAGAACTTTTATTGTGATCATCAGCGTGTGGTAATTAGTGCAGGACTGGAGCTGAGACACCAGGGGCCTAGTATAACCTTGGGATGACATGGAGCAATAGAAAAACCATTAAACAATTAAAAGGGCTCTTAACGTTTATTGTGTTCCTATTCATTTTATCATTGGTAATCTGCACATACCCTGAAGATTGCATTTTTAGCTCCACTTTCCAGAGGAGAACATTAGGGTTCAAAGTGTTGAAGTAATTTGCACAAATCCATCGAGCAGGTAAGGACAGAACTGTGCTCTGGATAGCCCTTGCATGTAAAATTATAGTACATGTTTCTAATGTTTTATTGCTAACAATAAAATATGTCTTAAAATATGACTTATTTTTCTCTCATTTTTTATTATATTAATTGCACAAAGGGCTTTCATTGTGCTATCTCCATACATGCATAAAATGTACTTTGATGACATTCACCCCCTCTATTACTCATTTTTGTCCCTCCTCCCCCCTTTTTTGGATAATTTTTAACAGGTTTCATTATTTTGTTTTCATACATGTGTATGAAGCACTTTGATCACATTCACCCTCCCTTTACCTCACCTGTCACCCTCTTCCCCTCCTGTCAGAAGTTCCCACCACTAAATAGTCTCCCTATTCTGCACTCCCTATTCTGTCATTCAGTGTTTTTTCTTTAGGTCTAGATTCTGCATCTGAGAGAGAACATAGTGATATTTGTCTTTCTCAGTCTTGCTTATTTTGTAACACGATGGCTTCCATTTCCATCTACTTTCTTGCAAATGACATTATTTAATTCTTTATAGCTGAATAATACTCCATGGTGTATATGTACCCCATTTTCGTTACCCATTCATCAGTTGATGGACACCTAGGCTGATTCCGCAATTTGGGGATGGTGAATAGTGTGCCATAAACACGGGTGTGCGGGTGTCTCTATTGTTTGAAGACTTGCGTTCCTTTGGATGCATTTCCAGGAGTGGTATCGCTGGACCATATGGTAGTTCTATTTTTATTTTTCTGAGGAAGGTTCATACTAATTTCCACAATGGCTGCACTAATTTATGTCCTCACCAACCCAAAAGGGTTCCTTTCCCCCCCCTGTATCCTCAGCAACATTCATTGTTATTTGTTTTCTTCATGATTGCCATTCTGACTGGGGTGAAATGGAATGCCAGTGTCATTTTGATTTACATTTTTAAATGTATTTATTGACCATTTGTATTTCTTTGAGACTGTTCAGTTCATTTGTCCATTTATCAATTGGGTTATTGTTCTTTTGGTGTTTAATCTTTGGAGTTTTTGTTTTTTTGGTGGTACTGGGGTTTGAACTCAAGGTCTCATGCTTGCTAGGCAGACACTCTAGCATTTGAGCCACTCTGCCAGCCCATTTTGAAGCTCTTTATATATTCAAGATAGTAATCCTTTGTCCAATGAATAGCTGGCAAAGATTTTCTCCCATTCTGTAGGTTGTCTCTTGGTTCTGAAAATTTTTTTCTTTTGCTGTGTAGAAGGTTTTAATTTGATACAATTCCATTGGTCAGTTCTTGCAGTTGAAGTCTTATTCAGAAAATGTTACCTCTGCCTATATTTTCAAGAGTCTTCCCTGTATTTTCCTCTAATAATTTAAAAGTTGCAGGCCTTATATTTAGATATTTGTTCCATTTTGAATTGTTTTTTGCATGGGATGACAGAAGGGGGTCTGGCTCCAGGAAATATAACTTATTCATTTGTATGTTGCTGTTTTTGCCTACAACCTGGCTACACTCATTGATTCTATCAGTTTTTTTTTAAGGTTTCTTTGGATTTTCTGCATAGACAATCATGTTATCTGTGAATATGCATAGTTTTATTTTTTTCCCTTTCTAATTTTTGACTTTTTAAAGACAGGGTCTTGCTCTTTAGCCCAGGCTTGTCTCTAACTCATAATCCTCTTGCCTCAGCCTCTCAAGTG